TATGTGTTAATCCAAGCTAGACAAGGGCATTAAAACATCCACGGATGCAGAAGATTTCTCTCAAAACAGGGGGGATGAGGTTCTAAGCTTCACCACTGTTGATTCCCAATTTCTCACCTGATGGCCCCCCTGCCTTAGGTTGTTCCTCCCTTGAGGAATCTTACCCGTCTCTGGCTAACCAGTCATCTTCCAGGGCCATACAGGGATATGTAAAGTTGGTGAGAGAGAAGCCATATTGTTTGAAATCAAACCCATTTTATAGCTGAGAAAATGGAGGCTGGCCCTCAGGTACGGAGGCAGGAACAAACCTGGGTGTTCTGCCCCGATTCTTCCTTTCTTTCCTTTCAGTCTTTGGCTCAATTCCTGGGCTGGTCTGTCTTAAATTCTGACACCTACGAGTCAATGAACAAACTTGAAAACAGGAAGGATATTTTTCAGGACATGGTAAAATATCATGTGAAGTGTGACAATGAAGAAATCCAGAAAATCCTGGTGGGTAAAGTCTTTCTGTTGTTTCTACCATAGCAAAGCTTACACCCTGGGGCTGTGGCCAGAGCAAAGCGGACCTTAAAGCCCCTGAGGATGGAGCAGGGTGGGCTTGCCCAGTGCCCTAGCCACTGCCTCTCACTGAATGCTGTGGGCTCTCCAGTTGAATGGATGAATGGATAGATCAGAGTGTCCCTTGCAGGGTCACCTCAGTCTTTGGCCAGACCTGGAACTAACAGCTCTAGAAACTCCATGTTTCACTGGGCTCAGGGCTGACTTGTTGCTGACGTGGAGTCATGCAGCCACAGCCCCTGTAAGAGGAAACTCTGTCTGACAGACTAATAGCCAGTGGTCAGTTTCCCAGAGGCTCCCCTCAGGGGGTCACTTCACTTAGAAGACCCAGTCAGGCCACAGAGGAGTTTGGTGAGCAAAGAAGTAGGACAGAGAGAGTTAGATGTCAGTAGGGAGCCTTTTCATCACTTTACTATTTATAAGGCAAATTCACACTTAGGATATTGTTTAATGCCTACAACAGTCCAGTAAGGGGGGCAGGGTTAAGATTTCTATTGCCACTGTAGAGATGAAGAAATTGAGGTCCAGAAGGGGAAAGTAACTTGTCCCCAAATAACCCAGCTCGTTAAATATATCTCACTTAATGTTTATCAGAATAATGAGCAGATTCTCTACCACTCTTATGAATGGGTTGCCTCAGGTGATAGTGAGCACCCCATTGAGACAGGTATCAAGCAGAGGCTCAATGACCACATACCAGGGCTGCTATAGAGGAGAGTCCTACCTGGGGTGGGAAATTGGATACGGTGCTTCCAGTTTCAAAGATACATGAGAATTAATGATTCATCCTTCCTGGGATTTTGGTTTTAAAGGGACCAAGATTTTAGAAGTAAATTGAGTTAGCCAAATTGCATTGGGTATGATCCCCAAGCTCCCAAGACCTTGCTTATAGACCTCCCAAGTTGAAACATCACAGATCAGTGTTTTCAGAGGTGATACTTAAGCTGGAAAGATATCACAACAAATTTGATCATTTCATTCCAATAACTGATAAATTCGAAGTAGAAAATAACCAATTTGGATGAACTGACTCATGGTTTGCTTGTCTCAGTCCATAATCAGCCAGATGATGGTTATGTGGACCCTGCAGAGACACAGCCTCAGTGAACCAGTTAAAAGTTAATAGATTTTGCTCTGAGTCAAAAAGTCAGAAACAAGTAACTGGGCCCACGTTCCCCCCTCCTCTGAAATAGGAGAAAAGTGGGCCCAGAGAGGGAAGGAACTTGCCTCAAGTCACACAGTGAGAGGTAGAGTCAGGACACTGAGCAAGGCCCCCTCAGTCAGTAATAATAACAATAAAAATATCAACAACTTGATTTAATTCTAGTGCTTATCATGTGCCAAGCGCTGCACTGTGCTTTACATTAATTTAGCTGTACATATGTTTTTAAAAATGACTTTGCATAAAATCTATTTTTAATTCTCCAGTTATTATTATTATCTCCAACACTTTTATTATCCCCATTTTATAGAGGAGGAGGTAGAGGATCAAAGGCATTAAGTACACCGCCCATAAGTGGCAAAGCTTGACTTTGCATGTCCTCAGGTCTGCAAAGCCCAGGACCCTGAGGTTGCTCCTCAATGAATATTGAACAGCAGCCTCTCTGAGTTGGTGACTCTGTGGCAAAGACTTTGGATGGAGGAGAAAAATGGAGGCATATTTACACCTTAGATATAGTAATCTTTCTTTTTCTTTTTGCTATTTTGGGCCCTGGCAGAAAACCAGAGAGGTGTACGGGAAGGAGCCCTGGGAATGTGAGGAGGAGGAGCTGGCTGAGATCCTGGTGAGTGAGGCCGAGCTGTACTGGCCCTGATCACACTCAGGACCGGTTTCGGTTCCGAGGGAGCCCGGGGCCTCCCTGCAAAGCACGGCCCTTGCTGCTCTGCTGCGTGCCTCCCAGTAGACCTGGGATGGGGCGGGGCGGGGCAGGGCGTCGGGGGCAGAGGGGGATTGACCCGGGACACTTCATGTTCCCCAAGCACTTGACTCCCTTCCTACACAGCAAGGAGAGCTGCCAGAGGCAGAGAAATATGAAATTAACAAGTTCCACTTCAGTGACTTGCCCCTGACAGAACTGGAGCTGGTGAAATGTGGCATACAGATGTATTATGAACTCAAAGTGGTGGATAAGTTTCACATTCCTCAGGAGGTGAGGTCAAAACAAATCTCTTTGATGTCTCTTTTTCTTCTTGCTTGCTTGCTTTTTTTTTTGAACTCTGTCAACTGCCTTAAAAAGCATGTTCCCTCAGTTTTTAGGATTTAAAGTGTATGTTGCACAGATGAATCATTTGTCAGAAAAGACACATAAGTTTCCTCTGAACTGTGCTATTTGGGGTGCAGTGGTTTCTCGGGATGGGTTTGAGACTCTGAATTTTGAAAGCTGTGAATAAATGGGATGCAGAAAAAGGCCCTATAGTCAAACAAGGGAGGAAATGTGAGTTAAGTCAATATAAACAGGGCTTTTCCTCTACAGGATTCCTTACATTGTGCTGTGAATCTGGGGGTTGGGGGATGACAGACAAGGTGAGGGTGGGTGGGTGTTGTGTACAGAATTTCCCAGACTCATTAGATTGAAGCAGCGGGTCTCAAAGCATTGCCCAAAGCTCATCAGCCACACTAATGAATCAGAACTGTTTTAACAAGCCTCTGGTTGATTCTGATGCACACTCATGTTTGAGAACCACTGATTTAAAGACCCCTTTTGTTTTCCTCCCTTCTAAAGATCCTGTTAGCTTTTCCTCAGACAGTAGCTCTCCACAGCACAGTTTGGGAAATACTGATGAAACTCAATTGATGGAATAAGTAGAGTGACTCATACACCAGCTGGTTTCAAAAAAGACATTTCACAGTTTCCAAAGTGCTTCCACAGCATTATTATCCCTACTGCTAGCTCCCTGCTCTGGTCCAGTGTCAGGGTTGGGGGACCTCCCGCAAGAGGCTGGGCCCCAGGCCCTGGTGGGGTGCGTGCTGCCTCACTGATGTGCATGTGTTCGCAGGCCCTGGTGCGGTTCATGTATTCCCTGAGTAAGGGCTACCGCAAGATCACCTACCACAACTGGCGGCATGGCTTCAACGTGGGGCAGACCATGTTCTCCTTGCTGGTGGTACGGCAGCTGGGATTGCGGTGGCTAGGGCTCCTGCCACACCAGACGACCTCGCGGAACTCCATGCGGCAGCAGCAGCCTGTTCTCAATTTATTGCTTTTCAAAAATTATGCAAGAGTACATGCTTAGCATAAATGAATTCCAAGCACAGAGAGACATCTACAGTAAAAAGTGCAAGTCCACTGTCAACCCCAGTCTGGTTATTTAGAGATAACCAAGATACAACTCCTTCCAAATTTTTCTCTAGACATATGGAGGCATATTTGTACACACATACACAGTTTATTTTGTTTAAACCAATTGAATATTCTTATTCTGTAATATGCCTTTTTCACTTGAAAGTATATATTAATCACATTCTTTATATATATATTTGTATTGTGTATATATATACATAATTATACATATACATAACATAAAATGTACATAATATAAAATGTATTATTTTAACCATTTTTAAGTGTACTGTCCAGGTCAGTGGCATTAAGTTCATTCACCATTTTGTGCAGCCACTGCTGCCATCCATCTCTACAACTTTGCCATCTTTCCAAACAGAAACTGAGTCCCCATTAAGCAATACCTCGCCACTCCCTTCTCCCCTGTCCCTGGTGACACAATTCTCTTTTTTGTGTCTGCGAACTTGACTACTCTAGGTATGTCATGTACGTGGGCTCATGTGTGCTCTGTCCTTTGCATGACATTTTCAAGACCTATCCATGATATGATTTTATAACTCCCTAGTATTCTGTACTGTTTAACTATGCCATGATTTCCTTGCTCAGCCCCCTAGTGTTGAACATAGGGGTTATTTTCAATCTTTCACTGTTAGAAACCGTGGTACAGTGTCCTCGGATGGACATACCTATGCTTATTCGTGTCAGTCTTTTTCATCCAGAGGGTTAGGAGCCCTCTGTATTTCATTTGAAAGAGTGTTCCCATGCAGATTATGACCCAGATCTCTACCCTTGCCCAGCCACCTCACCCATTCCTTTCCTTTGTGGCTGGAATGGCCATGCCAGAGTAGACAGGAGGGCCTGGAGGCAGGAATTCTAACCAGGCCACCAAAGAAAACGACAAGACTTGATTATTTCTTAGAGTCACAGAATCACATCACCTTTCCAGGGTTCTACCCCACCCTTTACTCCAACGCCCAGCGTAAAAAAGGAGTTAAGGATTTGAAAGAGTCTTAGGGGAAGGTCTGCTGGCTGGGCTTAAACCAGTAGACCAGGTCTGGACGGTTTGCTCTCCAGTCTGGACATGTTAAAAAACCCACCAAGCCCTAAAACCTGACAGCTGCACATTTCTTGACAGTCTTCCACTGCTCCCCCATCCAGTGAGCAGACTAGGATACCGAGGTCCAGACGGAGATGGGACCATTGAAGTCACTCAGGAGTAGGGCAACCACAGCCCCATTTGCCCGGAACTCTCCCAGTTCTAGGACCATAAAATCTTGGAGTCCCAGGCAAACATCTGGTCCCCCTGAGGCATCACGGGTAGAGATCAGACCTAAATATCCAAGCTCTGGGCCCTCCTCCCCACACCTGCTTTCTCAGTCCTGCTTACATCCCACACAAGAAAGGAGTGACACCTCTGACTGCCCTTCCAGACTGGAAAGCTGAAGAGATACTTCACAGACCTGGAGGCCCTGGCGATGGTCACCGCGGCCTTCTGCCATGACATCGACCACAGAGGCACTAACAACCTCTACCAGATGAAGTGAGTTGGCCCTTACCAGCCCCTCTCCCTCCCTTCCACCCCCAGGGCTCTACCCAGACCTGAGCGGCTGCTGGACGGACTCACAGGCCCAGGGGACGTCCCCTGTGCACAGTTGCCCCTTCCCCCTACCCTTTGGGTCTGGGTAAACTCCTGCAATTGACAGATAATAGCCCCCAAATATGTCCATCCCCCAATGCCCGCAGCTTGGAAATGTGCTGCCTTACAAAAAGGGACTTTGCAGATGTGATTGAGCTAAGGGTGTTGGAACATAGGGCGTACCCTGGATTATCTGAGTGGGCCCCACACAGTCAGCAGGTCTCTGTAAGAGGCGGGCAGGAGGTCAGAGAGGAAAGGAGATGCATCACTGTTGGCTTGAAGGTGGAGGGCAGGCCGCAAGCCCAGGAATACAGGTGCCTCTAGATGCTAGAAAAGGCAAGAGAGAGGATTTTCCCCTAGAGCCCCTGGCAGGAAAGTGGCTCTGTGGATCCATTTCAGACAGTGAACTCCAAAGCTGTAAGACAGTACATTTTTATTGCTGTAAACCATTAAGTTTGTGATAAGTTGTTATAGCAGCTATTGGAAACTAGTATGTTAAACCCCCTCACTCTCCTCCTGCACTTTCTACCTGCTAAACTGATTTAAGCCAAGACGTTGGTGACCAATAATGGTTCCTTCATTCACCTTGTATTTACAAAGCTCGTAATAAAGAGTGTGGTGGGCCCTTTGTGAGGCCAAGGAAGTGCCCCAAGTGAGGCGTGCAGAAACAGGCCCTGTCTCCTCTGAGCCTATGCTTCAGACAGCCTTGGAAGCATGATCCTTGAGCCATGGTGTTTGGTGGACCCTCCTGACCTCCTCGTGGGAGGGGCAGGGCAGGGATTAACTCTGAGGTTCCGTCCAGGGCCACAATCTGTAATAATTAACAAGCTCTAGAACATGCTCTTCTGAGTCTTCTCAATACCTGCATGCTGTTTCCAAGGCTAGATTGTGTTTACATTTTAACTTGTAGGAAGCTAAATACTGAGCTCAGTTCTTGGCACATGGTAAGTGCCCAGCAAATATTTATTGAATAAAGACATGAATAAACACTCTGCTTAGGGGAATTCAACGCCTTCTCCTAAGACTCAGATATGGAGGATTTGGGGCTCGATGATCTTTAAAGTATGGCCCAGTGCCGGTGTTCGTGACCGGCTATGGAGGATCCAAAATCTCTAAAATTGCATGTGGCATTGCGTGTGTTTGTGTCTTTTTCTGGGGATAAAGATCCACATTACTCAACAGATTCTCTAAGGAGTTCATGACCCCAAAGAAGCTCAGAATCAGCTGTGGAAAATGTTAAAGCCTGAGAGTCAGGAGACCCAACAGCTAGTCCTAGTCCCCATCATCTCACTGTGTGACAAGTTCCTTCCCATTCCTGGGCTTGCGACTCTCCATTTGCAGAATGAGGAGGTGGGAGGACTGGATGAAGCCTTTAACCTTCATCTTAGCCACTCCATGTTGATTCTGTGTGTGTATGTCTCTCCCTCCCTTTCAGATCCCAGAACCCACTGGCCAAGCTCCATGGGTCCTCCATCTTGGAAAGACACCACCTGGAGTTTGGCAAAACACTGCTGAGAGATGAGGTAGGATGAGGATTTGTGCACTGGTTTGGGGCCTGCACAGGAGCCGCATCTCACAAGAAGCCCCAGCCTGGCCAAGCAGCGTTCTTACCACTGGCCTGGGTTGCCTCTCCCACCATCTGGGGTGGTCCTTGGTAGCTGGGTGACTTTACTGCCAGGATCCCTTCTCACAGCTCTCTTCTGGTTTTCTCTTCAGGACCTGAATATCTTTCAAAACCTTAATCGCAGGCAGCATGAGCATGCGATCCGCATGATGGACATAGCCATCATCGCTACAGACCTCGCCTTGTATTTCAAGTCGGTATTTCTTCTCATTTTAAGAATAACAAGAACAATGGTTATAATAATAACAAACACCATAGTTTCAATTGATTTAATATATAGTGTCAGCCAGACATGACCCTTGTGCTAGGGAACATTAACTCTCACTACAACTTTGTGAGTTAGATATTATTACCTGCATTGCACAGACGGGAAACTGAGGTCTAGGTGAAGAGATTTGCTAAGACCAGATAACGAATCTGTGACAGGGTCTGAGTTGGGACCTAGGTCTTCACTCCCAGGTCTTGGGTCTTTTAAGCTTATTCTGTTAATTAAATTGTTTTAATAAGCCTCTGTCTAAAAGTAGCGAATGTTAGCAGCCCAAGTGTTGCCTTATTTCCAGATTTACTCCTTTAAGGAACTGATGTGTTTTGTAGGAAGAGGACAATGTTCCAAAAGATTGTGGATCAGTCTAAGACATATGACACTCAGCAGGAGTGGACACAGTACCTGATGCTGGAGCAGACAAGGAAGGAAATTGTTATGTGAGTTGACACAGGGCTTAAACCCTGATCCTCTGAAACACAGATCATAGGTCAAGATGATACACCAACTGGCCTTACTGTCCTTAAGATACTTTCCATTTAGGAGGCCTCCAACATATGAAAAAAATGAAGCTATGCCAACACAGTATTGCAGAAATAATGACATATGTTTAATTTTTATTTTAGCTTGAAAATACAAAACAACATAATACTGTTTTATTTCTCTGTATATAAAAAGCACCATTGACTCTTGAACAACACTAGGGCTGGGATGCCAACTCCCTGTGCAAAACTCCATGTAATACTTCAACTCCCCCCAAAACTTCACTACTCCTAGCCCACCGTATCTAGGAGGAGTCAATTAACTTCAGATGCAGCGGAGCAGAAAAGTAGGAAAGAAATGGGAAGGTTGTGGAGTCCCATGGAGAAAAGGGAGCAGAGAGTGAACTGGCTGCTCTGTGGGTCCCTGCCAGGACTGGGCAGGGGAGCACTTTGAAAGGGCAAAGGTTAACTGCCTCTTTCCTCTGATTTGCCCCACCCAGGCCTTGGCTTCTTTGCCTCTTTCAGATGACTGCATTTCTCTCTAGCCCAGGTAGTAGCCCGGTGGCTCAGCGGGCTAGAGTGAGGCACAAACAGCAAGTCGCAGGTTTGCTCCTCAGTAGGTACTCCTCCTTTTCCACTTCTGTACACCACATCACCTTCAGAATCTGGCATCTTACATCCAATTACAGATACCATGTATTTACTGAAAAAAATTCACATCTAAGTGCACCCAGTCAGTTCAAATCCATGTTGTTCAAGGGTCAAATGTATAATTTGAAGTATTGCTCATAAAATTCAGAATTTTGGTGGTAAAGTGATAAAACTTCAAAGTTTTTGATAAAACCTAGACCATTATACCAAAGATGATTGGAGCAATAGCTACATGTGACTAAAAAAATACAGGCTTATTCACTTTATCAGTGTTCCTTTATACATGGCAATGCCCTGCAGTAGAGCTGTGCTTCATCAGTTAGTATATGATTTATATGAAATTTATAATGCCTTGCTGGTGTGAGGCCTGGTAAAGGGACTCAAATTAAGTTTCCTAGTGAATGTCTTCTTTCAGTTCTCTCATTATGCTCCATGACTCACTCAAGGGATGACAGGGTGAGAAGTATAAATTGAGGCCTTTTTGTAAATATGTGACTCAAGGCAAATGGCCCCCTGGCTCCCCTGTGATGGGTCCTTAGTGTTGAGGGTCAGGGCAGACAAGGCCTGGTTCCCAAGGGACTATCATGTTGTCTGTCTATCCCCAGTGCTTAAGACACAAATGTTGCACATCCCTGCAACAGAGAAGGGTCAGCCACTAGAACAGGCTCAGGGAGGCGGGGACAAGAAGCAAGCTGTCCTTCCCTCAGCCTTGCAGTTGGACAACCAGGCCTCCACAAAGGTCCCCTGATCCTGGGGTTGTAACCTGCTCCCACTGATCACCAGAACACACTCAGGCTGTGCCTGCTCCCAGATGGACAGGAGCTGCCCTGCCAGACATTTCACAATGGTGCAGAACAACTGAACAAGTGGAAAGAACCCTGTTCTTGGATAGGGGGACTTAATAGTAAATGCTGTTTATTATCCCTAGTTAATTATTCATTTACGGTGAGTTCAAGGAAAATATTGAGGAATAATTAGGAAGTTAATTCCAAGATTCTTATGAGGAATAAATATGTAAAAATAGCCAGAAAATTCTGAAATAGAAGAATAATAATAGGGCCCAGCAAAAGTAACAGCAGTTCAGTCCTAGGCATGAGTAGGGCAGGTTGATGGGATAGACATGAAAGACTATGCCTGTGCTAACGTGGGTTTTATACTAGTGGAGAAAGGGTAAGTTCATAAATGGTGCTGGGACCATGAAGTGGTCTGATGGTTTCTTCCAACACCACCTAGCAGTTTTCCAGTGCTCAGCAGATACTGCCTGGGGGGCCTACAGACTTAACTCAGTTCTGACACTCTAGTTGGAGTTGGCATCAGATCTCACAGGGAAAGGGCTCAATCCCACAAGACTGGCCCCATTTCACATGCCAGTTGCAAGTCAAGGTTGTCATCAGTGATTTTGACTGCCTGGCTATAAACCCACTCCTTGGGTTCAATTAATTTGTGAGAGCAGCTCACAGAACTCAGATAAATATTTACTTATATTTACCAGTCTATTATAATGCTTATTATAAAAAATACAGAGCAGCCAGGTGAAGAGGTACATAGGGAAAGGTCCAGAAGGGTCCCTAGTGCAGGAGTCATTCTGTCCTCGCGTCCTTGTGCTGCACCCTCCCAGAAAGTGGATGAATTTGCCAAACCAAAGCTCATCAGATCTCATTGTTTAAGAGTCTTTACAGAGCCTTACCTGCACCCTTCACAGAGGTCAGACTGTAGGTCAGACACAGAGAACAAATCTGTGACAGGGTTGGGGTTAGGACCTAGGTCTCACTCCCAGGCCTTGGTTCTTTTAACCTTGTTCAGTTAATTAAATTGTTTTAAGAAGCCTCTATCTAAAATAGCCAATGTTAGCAGCCCAAGTGTTGCCTTATTTCCAGATTTATTCCTTTATCAAATTGATATGTTTTGTAGGAAGAGGAAGGCTTCAGCTGAAAGCTCCAGCCCACTGTTCACTGGGGCTTTCATGGCCAGCCCCACCCAGAGCACCTACTTAGGGAACCCACATAACAAACCCAAAGTGGGCTTTGTAGGTGGGACAAAAGGCACCACCATCATTCAGGAAATTCTAAAGATTTTAGCTTTGTTTCAGGAACCAGATACAGAGATAAAATATTTTGTATTATGCCATAGGTGGCCATAAAGCTAGACCACTGTCTCACTCCTACAGCAAACTAAATTCTAGATGAATCAAGGATTTTAAAATGAGAAAACAAACCAAAAAAAAAAAAAAAAGGGATGGAGGAAAAAAGCATGGGAGAATTGAAAAAAATAATTTCAGAGTGAGCTTTTCTAAGTCTAACATAAAATTCAAAAGTCATAAACAGATGGATAATTTTAACTATGTAAAAATTTCTGCAGAACACACACAAGAACATATAGCTGAAGTCAGAATGCACAAATAAGCTGGAGAGAAATAATCTGCAACATTTCTAACAGAAAAAGTGCTCATTTCCTTAGTAAATAATGTGTTAAGGCAATTCAGAAAAAGACAAATCCAATAGAAAAATGGGCAAAAGACTCAAACAGGCATTTCCAAGAAAAAGAATTACAGAGGGATGTAAACATCTGAAAAGATGACGACCTTACTCATATTAAGAGAAATGCAAAATAAAACTATAATGAGATGTAATTTTTTCATGCCTCCTATTGGCAAAGATTAAAACACAGTGTTGGGCAGAATAAAGGGCAACAGGCAAGCCCATTCATTGTGGTGGGAGTGTCAGCAGGTGCAGCCTTTATGGAGGGCAATCCTCATGAAAACTGTAAATGCTTACACTGTGACCCAGCAATCTCACACATAGGATTTACTCTCCAGATTGGAGCATGTACAATGTTATCCATTGCCACGGTATTTGTAAACAAAAAGGTTGAAAACAACTTGAATATCCCTTGATGGGGGACTGGGTTAAATACACGATGGTATTTTCATACAATGGAATGTCATACAGACTTAACAAGGATATGATAGCAAGGATTTCGAAGATACAGTGTTCAATTAAAAAGAATATAGCCAGAGGCAGGACTTCAATCATTGCAAAAGCCAAAGCAGTCCTAGGTGGAAGTCTTCAAACTGAGGCACACATACGCCCTCTGCCTCATCTCCCGACCTTCCCAGAAGCATCGCGCTTGGCCTGCCTCAAGGAATCAGTGTTCTCTTGCTTCACATTACGTCCTGAGGACCTTCAGCAGGCCAGGCATGGTCAGTTTGCTTACTCTTCTCTCACTGTACAAAATAAAGGCAAACTCGCCCTTTCTTGACTCTTCCTTTGATGCAAACTTTTCCTATGGGACATCCAACAGCAGGACTATTTGACCTACTGCTGTCTTCAAAGCCTCTGAGTCAAGGCATTAGAAACTTGAGCACGGGTTTGGGGCCTTTGGTTAAAAGCAAAACAAGGCATTAGAAACAGAATTTTGTCCTGGATTGTACAGCAGGGCAGTAAGAGCTAAGGCACTTAACAATCTTACTTCCTTCAGAGAAATGTACCACTGTGTAGGGATGACCCCTGCTACCAGGGCCAAGGAGCACCTGTAGTAGGTGCTGAAGGCACCTGCTCTCATCCAGGCCACTCTCTATTGTCAGTCTGTCTGCCTATCTACCCATCACCTATCCACCCATCTCTCTCTCTCTCTCTCTCTCTAGTTAATCTGCATACCTACCCATCTACCTCTACTTTCTTAGAATTAAGAAAAAAAATGAGTGTTATCAAGATGCGTTCTAACATGCTTATTTGAATTGAAAAATAACATCAGATTCTTTGTGACAGAAAGATTTTCTGACAAGTCTGATTTTCCTGCTTTATTGACAGTAAAAGACTAGCATTTCTAATCATGCTACATAGCAAACATTCTCATGAGTTAAATGAGTCAAATCTGCAGCTTCAAAGTTTTGATGAAAACATAGCTTAAATTTATTTTAAGATACAAGCACTTTATAAAAAATACAACACCGGAAGATGTGTTAAAATTAATAATGTTTTAATTGACCTAACCCATTCTGAGTATCTTAGGTTAATCAAAGTGCCACAGAGAAAGTGTCAGGGTGTAATTAATAGTCATATGAGAAGTCTTGTTTCAGTCTTCATGGCTTGCTTCCCAGAAATTGGGGAAGTGAGTGATTCTAATGTTTGCCTTAAATGAAATCAAAGGAGAATCTAACTGAATTGTCATTTGATCAGCATAATGATCACAGTATAGTTTTTAACAGCTAATTTGGAAGAGCTGAAAGAATTGAGTTGACATTCTTGTAACAAAACTCCTTTCAATACCAAAGTTGATAATTAGTTGCAAAAAAAAAATGGCATAAAACATGCTAAATCCCCATCTCAATTTAGTGATAAGAAATATTCATTCATTAGCTGATTTTTAAAAAATAGCCCCATTCTGTTTCATTAAGAGATGAATTTCCCTCCCAAAATTTGAGTGTTTAATAAGTATTTCTAAAAATAGATATTCTATTTTATTGTATGGGTTAATTGTGCAATAATAAGAAGTTAATTCTAAAGAAAAGTTTTTAATACTTAGAGTCCTATGGTCAAAGAAAAAAATCCTTACTTGTATCATTTCAACTAATTGATATATGGTTGTGGATAGTATGGAAGGGTGATCAATTAAAAGACTTCTCATATATATATATATGTATGTGTATACATATGGGCTTGAAAGTCATTATATAAATATATATGTGTATAGAGATACACATATACATACATATATATATATATATGTATACATGTATACACATACACATATTTATAAAACTATTTATGGAGAAAAGGAAGAATGTAAAACTCTATGTTCTTACAGAAAAGCTTGTTCCTGTGTTGAAAAATGGATGATGGGGCTGATAGTCGGTATGAAATTGTAATACTATTTAGGTTCCTTTGTATTTAAAGGGTGATGTAACAATTTTATGTCAATATTTATAA